GCGAACACTCACCTCGGCGTGGTTTTCCTGACTTAATAAAATCGATGAAGAGTTTGGGGTAGATCACTGCGAGCACTTTCTCGTTCGCATCTGGCTTGAACGTATGCACACCCATGATGTATGAGAGATCGTCAGTGTGAAAAGAGTGTCTAGGGTTTCTGTAGGAGTAGAGATAGACCTAAAAGTAAAATTTTGAGAAAAGAAGTTCGAGCGGTAAGGTGATTCTAACCTCGCCTCCACCTATTCGCATGGCATGTCCCACTAAATAAGCCGAAAGGAATATTATCTGTGAGTTAATTGTGTGATTGAAAGCTGAAAGTGGCATCTGATCATTCGGTATTTTTGGAGCCTCACGAGGCTTATTCCCCCAATTCACAGCATAAAAGCGAGCTCTCAGGAATAGCATGCGGACACGGAGTAGAGAAAGTACTTATTCGCGTTGCAAGTCCAGTAGGTCGGGGCGGTGTCAGCCCGCCCTCGGCTGCGTTTGGAGTACAGTCGCCATTTGGGCGCTCGCGGCCAAAAGGTCGCGACACGGCTGCGGCGCGTCGCGACCTTTTGGATCAGCTGTTTCCAGCCTGGTTTAGCCATTTTCTCCCTAATTTTCACTGTTTTTGGCTGCTTTTCTTGAGGTTAGTTTTCCTTGTCTTCACAAGGTAAATTATGATTGAGATTTCTCTATTTTTGCGAACAATTAAACAATTAAACAAATACCGAAAAAATCGCAAAAACACTTTCTTACAGAAGCAGAAAAGGAATCCACTTTATAAAGGCAAGAATACAAGTTATCCTGAAAAAAAATAGAAACAGTGAAAATTAGGGAGAAAATGGCTAAACCAGGCTGGAAACAGTTGATCGCCGCGGTCGTGACGAGCCGCAGCCGCGTCGCGACTTTGCGCCTAATCAACTGCCTGGATGATGACTGAAAGTAGTGGTAGAAAACGCCGCGATTGAACTCATTGCATGCCTCCTGACTCCGCCCCGACTGAGTGCGACGATATCAACTGTGCCCTATTTTCTGGGGTATAAAGCACTCTTGTCTATAGGTCATAAGTCGCCTCGGACGTCGCGAATGTTTGCTTGGCTGATCTTTTGGTTTTCTATCTGGTTTTATCTACATTAGTGTAAGGATATAGTATAGTT